TCCACCATCCAGACGGGCTCCACCCTCTTCCCATCGAACCCTAACAAGGGGTTTCCAGTGGGCTTGAGCCTCTCTGGTTTAATCTTGAGCCTATCAAATGTGTCCCTTGGCATGACATTCGCACTGCTCCCAGGATCGATCAGAACTCTGTGCACCAAGCAGTCCGCCACTGTTAAACTGACTACCAACGGATCTTCATGGGGCAGTTGAACACGCTGGAGGTCTGTCCAGTCGAACTTTATCTGCATCGACGGGCTCTGCTGGTGTAGAGTATTCACACTGCTGACCCTTTTCTTCATCTGCGCCTGCCGCAGGCGCGCCCGGAGTAGCTCATCTGACTCTTCACTAGGCTCGGGTTAACCATGGATAGCATTGATTATACGAACTGGTTGTGAATTGTGGGAGCTTTGTTTATGACTCCTTTTTATTTGTTCCACCGGTCGATTCTGCTCTATCGCCGAGCCTTGAACATAACTCGCGAACTCCCCTCTAGCTATCAACATCTCCACTTGCCTCCTCAGGTTCCTGCATTCGTTAGTCTGATGACCGAAATCGGAATGGAAAGTACAATGTTTAGTTTGATCCCTCTGTTCGAGGGGTTGCCTAATTGGCAGTGGTGGATGAAACTTATCTTTGTTCTCCTGATACAGCCTCGCCAGAGTGACCTTCAGCGGAGTAATCAGCTCTTCCTCCCTGGACCTTTTTTCTGCCTTCCAAGAGGTCTGACGTTGCGGCTGAGCCTGCTTCTGCCTGATCTTTGCCTTGGACTTTTCCTCGGTCGACACGAGCGACGCTGTCCGGGCATTAGCTGTCTCCTCTTCTTCTAGGCGCACAAAGCCATTGGCTCTTTCATTGAGTTCATCCATGGTAGTCGGCGTGTTCACTACCAGACTGGTGTGAAACGGAGTTCCACGTGTCATGGCTAACTTGAAGGCTTGAACTACTGTAGAAGGGTGGCATTCGATCACCATACTCTTAGTGAGATTAAACCTGGTAAGAAAAGCCTGGAGACGTTCATCTTTGTGCTGCCTCATCGTGAATAGGCTCGAGATGTCCTTCGGCGGGCACTTGTTCCCGTAGTACTGGCTTATGAACCGATCGCACAGGTTTCTGAAGCTACCAATGGAGCTCCTAGGCAAGTTTTTGAACCAGCTGAGCGCCGGTCCGGCTAGGCTTGTAGGGAAACATTTGCACATTAAAGAGTCGTTTTCCATATTCAGGGCCATTTTCAACTGGATATGGTACACATGATCGATCGGATCGGTTGTTCCGTCAAACAGAATAAAGACTGGCATAGCAAACTTCCTTGGATGCGGGGCATTCAAGATCTCGTCGGTGAATGGTGAATCAACCGTCCGAGCTGCGGATCGGAGAGCTTCATTCTCTCTCTGGAGTCCAGCGGTAGCTCTGTGAGTTACGGTTCTGCCCTCCGAACCGCGATGAGTGATAGTAGCCATGGAGGGCCGGTAAGACGGATCGAACAACCGTTCCTCTATGAACTCTCTTTGCCAAGGCGACGCTACTCGACGGCGATCAACCTCTATCACTTCCTCTCGGTCGAACCTTTCCCGATGCGGATCGAAGGTTATGGCTTCATTCCGTCTAATCTGCTCATGTCGCGGATCAACGTGAGTCGATCCTTCGTGATCCTCAACCCGACGAACATTTGGCGGCAAATTGTCCATCATCTTTTCATCACGGTGGTGAGCTGACTGATTGTTCTCGTCCTACTCGCCTTGACGCGCGATATTAGATTGAACACCTCCTTCATCGACCGGAAGTGGATGCGAAACCGCAGGTATTTGCCGATGTTGCATTCCAGCTTTCAATTCTGCATTCTCTTTTTTGAGAGCTTCAATCAAGTTCATCAACTCCTCAAGCTTTGTTTGCTGGACAGCCTCCATCGGATTGGAGCTTTCACCTATCATTATTCCTGAACGGAGTAAAGGCATTAATCTCAAGTTCGCAAGTAGATCCGAGCTTCGTGAGTGGGAATTTTTTAGATCTGGTTTCGAATTCTCCGAATTATGCTCACCGTTTACGAGATCTGAATTGTCTGAACTCTAAATCCGTCAGATCCTGCCACAATCGAACAACTCGTTGTTGCGTAGATCTGAAGCCACTTCTGCCAAAGCTTCAAGAATTGTAATTCCTCCAGAGTAGGTCACAATCGCTCAGATCTGGATCCAAATCCCAAAGATCGAGTCTCGATCAACCGAATTGGTCTGAATCCACTCGATATTCCTCATTAATCAACCAAACTTCCATGCGATTCCCACAGACGGCGCCAATTGAAGATGCAAGAAATTCATACCTTCTTTCTCTCTCTAGAATTCTTACACTTCAACCAAAAGATCCTCCTATTCTCTCCATTCCTTTCCTTCTTTATAGATATTTACAAGATATTTACAAATATTGACGGATTGCTGGATCTGGGCCTGTTCCTCTATAAGTCCTGGTCACCTTTGATGGGCTTATTCGCGTTCGGCCCAAATGGCAGTGTCTTTTTATGGGCCGACCCAGCTGTACGGACCGGATGTCGTGCTTGCAAGTCAGATCCGGCCCATGTCCTCCTGGGCCTCCTCAAATTAATTTCTTTTAGTGGAGTAGAAATTAATTTATAAATTAATTGAATTGGGTCCATGAACCGGGCCAATTATTAATTCATTGTAGCCAATAAAATAATAAGCCCAAAGGATTCTCACTCATAGCCCAACTTGATATTGGAATCCTATTAGATTTGAGACATGTGAATTAGAGATTGAGAATGATTTATTATTTCTTTTTCATTATCTTTATATTGCCTATATATATAGATGATCTATGTATATTTTGGGTGTGATTTTTGGAAGAAAGAAAAAAGAATCTATTTTCTCTCTCTAGAAAATTAGGGTTAATGTTCTCATCTAATGGAGGCTCCCACAAGCCTAGTTTTCCAAAGGTCATTCATGGAGGTTTATGAGTGATTCTTAAAGGCAAAACAATTATCATGAAGATGGAGATCCAAAGAGAAAGCATCTTACTAAGGGATCTACAATAAGTGAAAACATTCACTTTAGAAGAAAGATTTAAAAATTTACTCAGACATTTTATTTAAGTATTCAATATATTAATTGAATGATATATCATATTTTATTTTTGCATAAAATTTGTCTCTATATGATGAATCAAGATTTATGAATCAAAATTTTTCGAAAAGTTTTTAAAACTTATACGTTTCCCAACATAAAGTAAATAGATATTATCTATAACATTGTCCAAGTGTGGACAATGCAAAAAATTATCACCAGTGGAGACCACTTGATAGAAACTCCATTTGTGATGCATACCATCCCCCCCTCCCTCCCTCCCTCCCACACATTTCTTTGGTAGTGCCCCAGATGCTCTAATGCTCTACGGCCCTACTTAATATAAAACCTATTTTTTTAAGATCTATTCAATAATAATAATAATATGAAATAATAATAATAATTATTATATATATTTTTTTGGTTGAATGGGTAAACTATCTATTCAATCATTTGAATAGGTACTATTGTAAAGAATAATGTTAGTAAATTATTGGTTAATTTCCTCAAGTTTTTATATTCTCACTTAAAAATTATAGATAATTGCAGATGTTAACCCTATATTGTCCATATGTATGACTTTGTATCTCCTCTGAGAGATGTTATCCCACTGAGTATTTATTAATTCTCTATTTCCATATAGGATAGTATAATACAATGACTTGTAGCCTGCCATTACATATTATTCCCATTAATTATTAATATTTGAAAGCTATTATTTATTTGATCCTGGAAAGCAATTTGGATTGTGTTTTGACGAGATTGCCTAATAATTAAGTCAACTGCCAATTAACAACTTAATTGAGTTGTTATGATGTGATTTCTTCTATAGGGTCAAGGATTATGCATGCAAATGGGGTTATTAAAGAAACAAAAAGAAAGCACAAATCTCTTGTCACTCTTGTTACGTTAACTCAAGGACCAGGTCCCAAACTCTACATATTTCAAGTGCTGTCTTTCTTTTCCTAATACAATGGGTAAGGGGTATTCGGGACTTTGCCCCACTAATTCCGAAGCATTATGTAAAATACCACTCCTTTCATGCAAGTCGGATAATTATTTATATTTAAAAGGAGTTAAACATTAGACCAGATAGTTTACGAGACACCAAATTTAAGTAACTTACCATCGAACCAAATCTAGGGTTACAAAAGGTTAATTTTGTATTTACATTTTACAAGAATGAGATTTTAATGCAATCTTAAAATATATTTTTAGTTAATTAGGTTAATTATATAAGCTTTTAGAAAACAAAAACAATACTTATCTAGCTTTAAGCTCATGAGCTAATATAAATAAAAGTACAGAATTATTTTTTGTTATTATTTTTGGATGTATTCCAGTTGTATTGATGATGTCTCATTTCTACTGGTTAGGATTACGCAATTTGGCTTGCCAGAAATTCTTCTAATTTTGACCTTCAGAAGAATAATAATGTACATAAATAAGTGTTCGCTTCATCTTCTTTTTTCTGGTAAATAATAATTAGAGATGGAACATGGTAAAGTATTTATCTTTGGACTTAATTAATTACTCCTTTTGTCTCAAATAAGACATCTTTTTTGGAGCAGATGTAGTAATTAACAGTATTGTCCCGGACATGATCAATGTTCCCTTCTAAGAAATCCATTCAACCTCAAATGTTCCGGCTGATCATATAACTAGAAAGAAGGGCAGTGACAGTGCTGGAAGTCATCAAAGTTGAACTAGCCATCTCTGGACTATATATCTCTGACTATACATATTCATAGAGAAAGGGGGAAGCAGAACAAAAGAATGAAGCTAGCATATATATATATATATATATATATATATTTCAAAAGCAGTGTATGCATGTTTACAAGAGGCTGAATAACAATCCAGAGACACAATTTGATCATACATGTCAAATTGTATATATATTCATAGAGAAAGGGGGAAGCAGAACAAAAGTGAGAATGAACAAAAGTATTGTATTTATGTTTACAAATCAAGAATGCTGAATAACAATCCAGAGATACAATTTTGGTCATCCATGTCAAATTGTCAATGAAGATTAGAGACTCCCTTATTTACAGCTTATTTCAAACACACAATTGGGGTTATTCATCATAATTGACCAAATATAATTCTACTTCATCCTGCCCTAAAAGAAAATCTTTATTCTGCAGAAAAGGGAAATCTACATCTTGCAGCCAAGACAAATCTTTATACACAATGTCTGCAGTTTCCAATTCCATGTCCAATTTTTCTTGCAGCGAATGCTCCTCCTGCTCCTCAGTTAAATACTCTCCATCCTTGGTGTATGCAATTTCCAATTCCATGGGTTTCAGTTACTCTTGTACTCCTTTTTCTTGCAGCAGCTCTTGGTCGGAGTGGGACATATTTGAAAATTGTTTCTGCTGCTCTTCATCATCATTGAAACATATAAGCTTCAGCCAAGTTAAATATTCTTCATCTGCAGTTTCTAATTCATGGGTTTTAGCTGCTCTTGTACTCCTTTTTCTTGCAGCAGCTCTTGGTGGAAGTGGGAGTGGGACATATTTGAAAATTGTTTCTGCTGTTTTTCATGATCATCAAAAAACATATGCTCCAGCCAATTTAAATATTCTTCATTTGCATTTTCTAATTCCATGTCAGATTTTCCTTCACAGTTATTGTTGGATTTCAGCTGAGTACTACTAGTCATGTGGGACATATTTGCAAAACATTCCTGCTGCTGCTGCTGCTCATCCTTCTTGGTGTTTGGAGTTACCAATTCCATGTTAGGCACTACTCTTTCTTCTTCACAAGTAATATTGGTGTAACTTTCGTCACTACCTTCATTTTTGTTTCGTTTTCCTTCTTCCTTGTTTTTCTTGCTATTATATCTTATTCGGCAAACCACCCATTTTTGGAACTGCACTTATACCCGCCCAAACACATCAGTTCAATAAATATCTAATGTTTAAATTATTACAGTAGCAATAAATTGATCCTTTGATAGAATAAAAAACAAGTATGTTCTAAACCAGGAATTAAGCAGTAAAACTTATATATATATATATACAACTCAAGCTAGCACATCATTAAGCAATAACATGCATCCATGACAAACACAGATTTTTGATGTACCTCTTTTCTTATAACTTATGCATGAGCTAGGAACATAGCTCAATTCAAAAGAAAAAAATATATATATGAAGGATTTGAGTTCATGCATTAGTGATACATTCTTATGTACCAGTATATAAGTTCATTTGAATGCACTTTTCTATTCAGCATGCTCTTTGAATATGGCTTATATATATATATATATATATATATATATATATATATATATATATATAAAAACACACGCACATATATGCAAAGATTCAGTTTATTTATTTATTTATAGCTTAAGATTTAACTATACAATGCTCGCCATGCGTTAAGAACTATATCTTTCATTTTCGAAAATTAAAAAGGTTTCCTTATCAACATTTGCGAATAAAATTTACATCATGTCTAGCTCACATGCATTAAGAACTACATCTTTCATTTTTGAAAATTAAAAAGGTTTCCTCATTACCAATTGCAAATACAATTAACATCTGTTTTATTTGTTTTCATGTCTAGCTATCTTAATTTATGCAGCTCATCATCAATGATAAATTATAAAATATATCACTCACATAGTACGTACTGAAATTAGTAAAATAGACCCAAGAATTTTGCTGGTCTCTAGAGCACCTCATAATGTAAGAAAGGACTGCTATATATATATATATAGCTGCTTTCACGTCTACCTAGCTAGCTTAGTTATTCAAATTGGAATTATACTCAATGAACATACATAAATATTAATTTCATGCATGATGTTATTATTGAAAATATATATGAATTATATTGATAATTGAAGTATTTAACTATAATCTCGGCGAAGAATACATGCATGCATGCAAATTAATTAACTAACTGAGAGTACTTTATCTACATATATAGTAGTAAAAACAGAACTCTAAATTAATGTACATGTGTTATGCTTAATTAATTAGTAGCCATATAGCATATAGTACGTACCGTATCTCTTGAAAGACTATACTAATGCAAAATCCAATCAGTTTTCATGCATTCACGACGATTTCGATTTTTGGTCTTGTACTTGTAAAATGTTAAGGTTTTGATGTAGCCAATGACTTTCAAATTTCGGTTGTTTCGAATGTATTTGTCTCCGGTGCTGGCCTTCCAATATCCTCCAACATCAAACTTCCCTTTTACATCTCCATCGGGCCTTTTCCCTCTATCACTAGTTACACATTTCTTCTGTCGACTTACAAAATAATATCTATCATGCTAATGCTCATCATTATCCATATTGCTCATGGACCCATGAATATCATCTGATATACAAATAGACAATTAATTAAAGTCATATATAAGAATATTAATTAATCAAGGATTGAATTTAAAGAAACTAATACTCTATATATAAACAGATAATTAAATATGGCATTACTTAATTAGTCGATATCATGATATAGTAACTAATTACTTACATGAAAAAAACCACGGTTCACATGCATAGATGTCCATATCAATGACTGCATTGGATGACAGTTGTTGTTCACCATAAAGCTTCCTCCTCAAGTAATCAGAAAAGAGTTCTTCATCCATTGGTTCAAACCTATATCCAACTGCTAGTACCTGATCATGAGTACTTCCACAAATACTAAGGTACTGATCATCATCATCTGTATTCATGGGACTAATTTGCAGCTGCAAATTCTCACTGCCTCCTACAGTTAATTTCTTGTTTATCCTTTTACTCCCATCCCGGATTCTACACGAAACCCATTCTTGGAATTGCACTCACACACAACAATTAATTAATTAATTAATAATGAATAAATAAAAAATTAATGTTTGGACATATACAGAGAAGAAGAAACATACTGCAAGATTGAAATATGTATCATATATAAATATTGAAAATATATATTAAACATACCTTATCCTCTTTGAGCTTAAATTCATGCATGATCCAATCAGTTTTGATGCTTTCTTCGCGTCTTTAATTGCTATTTTTTGTAACTGAAATATTTTAACGACATCACCGAACCAATATCATTGTCTAGCTTGTCTCGAATGGATTTATTGTTGCCGACCCTTCACCATCCTCTGTAAAAGTGTCCTTTAACTTCCCGTTTTGGTGTTATACTATTTCCAGCTATAGATTTTTTCTTTCTTTCTACAGAGTAATATTTATCTAGCTCGTTCATATCATGATCTGTTACACAAACATGTGCAAGATATAAGAATATAATTGAGAAAATTAAACCACAAGAATTAATCTAGTGAAAGATAATATATATATATATATATATATATATATATATATATATATATATATATATATATATATACAGAGGAGACCAATGTTAATTACAGTGTATGCACACACAGTCACACACACACACACACACACATATATAAGATGGATATATAAATATGTGTCTACATGTATCAAATAGGGTTTGGGAGACATTAATTAAAAAGATAGCAAAGACAAAAGAAAATATAATATTTGTTGTTTCTTAGTTTTCTTTTGTGTCTTGCGTGTGCTGCACAAAGGAAATTAGTGAATTGTGTGTGCTTGATCCATACGTCTTGGGACACTGGTTGAATACATTTCATATATATATATTCTCAGACCGTATCAAAGGATTCATTGTAGTGAAAGTTGATAGGATTCTGGATAGATAATTGGCTAGACAATGGTCCATTTACTGGCCTCTTCAATGAGTGCACCATACAATCATTAGGATCATCTACCAACACAAAGTTAGCTCATTTGTTAACTCCACCACCTGGGCATTTCCACACCAACTCACCACTGTTATCCCTGAACTGCGTACTCTCAAACCTCCTTAGCCAGATTCCATTGACAGAATTATTTGGAATGCAGGTGGTATTTACACACTCAAGCATACCCTCTTTGCACTCTCCCCATCATCACCGGCGACCGTGGGCCAAGCTTATATGGGACTCAATTGCCATCCCAAGACACAAGCTAATTCTCTGGATCGCTGTCCAATGTATACTACCCACCTTGGATAGCAAAGCAATATCGAAAGTTGAACCAAAAATTTGCCTACTTTGCTCTTCAAAACCAGAATCTCACTCTCACCTCTTCCTTGAATGCGACTTCGTCAAGCCTTTATGGAAGTTCATACAGGATAAATCCAGATTTTACACTGGAATCATCAATTGGCCCCCAATTTGTACACAAGATCAACAATTGCCCTACAATTCGTCTCTGCAAGCTTGCTTTCAGAGTATTCATCGTTAGGAAACTACTACTCTTAAGTCTATTTTAGGAATATTGTTTCTTTCCAATTATTATTTGCTATGTTAAAAAGTCTGCTATTTCTATTTTTCATATATATACATATGATGCTCGTGTAATGGAATTAGGGTTATTATGAATAAAAACTTAATATTTTTTGTGGCTAATCCCCAATTCAAAGGATTATGATCAATTTAGGGTTTAGAATCCTATCATTCATCTACATTATTTAGAGCGAATGGAACAATTGATTATATAGGAACTCACCTTCATCGCAACAGGCAGTCCTATAGCAAAAATCGATGGAGAGAGAAAATGGAGGCGCTGCCGCCGCCCCACCACCACCGATTCCTCCACCGTCAAAACCCCCTTCCTCCACCAATCCCCTTCTCTCCAAGGGTCGCGACGCCTCCAATTCACAAAACCACCACTCGACCGCCTCATCCACGAATTCCTGGACTATGCTATCAAACCCATCACCCACTTTTCGCATCACTGGCAGAAGCTTGCTCAAATCGTGGCAACGTTGGTCTGGGTTTCGCACTGATCTCCGCAACCTCTCCTCTAGCCATATTTCTCGTCGTCTCTGTTGGCGGCGTTGGTCTGCGCATATGGCGGCGGCGGCTTTTATTTAGGGTTTCAAGAAAACATGAAGGGGGAGGAGAGGGGAAACGGCGTCATTTAACTTAAGGGGAAAACGGCGTCAATTTTAATACTATTCTACTGCATCATTTAACTTATGGGCAAGATGGCGTCATTAAACTTAATTAAACATCCATACACACACACATATATATATATACACATATATATCCCAAATTAAGAAAGAGATGAGAGAGAAGAAACTATGATCGATATACAAACAGTAGAGCAACCGGGTTGTAGATATCTATGTCAATCACTACATTGGATGGCAGTTCTTCTCCCTTAACCTTCTTCTCCAAGTAATAACGGATGAGTTCTTTGTTTGTTGGTTTAAACCTATACCCTTCGATCTGGTAATGCCATATTGCCTGAATACCAAAGAAATAAATGATAGATCTTTCTCTATTTATGTGCTAATGAGTTTATCTTATTCAAAGTGAAATTTAAGCTAATACCATATATGTATATATAGATATAGATAACTTGGATACAAAGCTTATTACTCTTATATTGCTTAATGGTCAGTTTGTTGGATACTAAGCTAGCTAATTAGTACAATATAAATACACACATGCGCTGTATGCTACCGCCTCAAGCTCCCAACGTCTATCCACTTAGCTCCAATATTTAGATTAAAAAGTATATATAGTAGGTGAAGTTAAAATTAGTGTCTAAATTTGAATTATCCTTTACTCATGGAAGTATATAGGATAATTGTTATAAGGCTATTTTCCTGTGTAGTCTCCCCAGATCAAGTGTGCCGGGAAAAAGGACTGGTGACACAAACTTAAATCTTGATATTATTTGCATAACTGAGAGTCCTTGGACTCAAAATCTGCAGTCTCACCCGTGGAGCATTTTTTTTTTATCTATTTATTTATTTTTTTTTTTTTTGTCTCCCTTCTTTCTCCTCTCTCTTCTTTCTATCATATCAATTTATTTTTATCGGTTTATAATTTGGTGTTTGTACGGTATAAAGGTTTTGATTCGATGATGAATAAGGATGTGGGAAGAGTATATATAAACAGTATTTCCACAATTAACAGTAATTTCACTTTCATCTACAGTTCCACCATGCAATTGAACTATATCATTTGGTGTTGGTCTGCATCTCTGTGCAGGACAACATTTTGCTATGCTAGACAAATTATAGCCACGTCCCATTCTATGAAACAATTGTCAAACCCGACCATGTAGTAAATCGCATTGTAAGGAAGTTGTAACTTCCAAGTTTTAGGTATGAGTAAAAACTAATAAGCAACACTTCAAGTTCGTCCTATGTACCTTTCCGACTAAACAAGTAGGGTATAGAAAAATGAAAAACACGAGAGAGAAATGTACACATTGCCTTTTGCCATATACAGTCAATTTATTTAAACAATCAGTTTATTAATCATAATATTCCATTTATAATCAGTTACTATATATATATGATATATATTGTTTTTGTGAGTACCATGGAAGGACTCATCCATCCCACTTGCACATGGTAGTACATTGCCATCTTGATTTCAGTGAAATAAATTAATGAAACTTTTTAGGAGTGAATGGCCTATAAAACTTTTCATGCAATTGAAGTCCCATCCAAATGTGCACCTTTTTTTTTTTTTTGTCCTATTTTCCGGGTGACTTGTATAGTTAAGGGTCCATTTAGCATGCGTTTTGTTTTTGATTAAAACAAAAACAGTGAAATAGTGTTTTTACTGTAGAAACATTTTGAAAAAAAAAATCAGAAACACGTTTAAAAACGATGTTTTATTGTGAAAATGTCAGAGTATTTTAACATTGTGTATGATTTTGGGCCATTAACAGTTGTCAAAATAAGAAAAAACAACTTTTTAGTGTTTTAGTTTTGGACGACTGTTCACGAAGTGTTTTACCACTGTGTAAAATAAAACAAGACCGCACCAAACATGCTTTTGTTGTCAAAATCGACACTGTAACAGCCCAAAAACTAAAAACAGAAGAAACAAAACGCAAGTCAAACGGAGCCTAAGAGACTATTATGATTACCAAAATTTTAAGAGTTGCTTAGCCTTATTATGTTTTTGCATAGAGATTTTAACAACATAGCACAATTTACTTGCGGTGAGTAGTATACTAATTAATTGTGACCTCATTAAAGTGCTTTCTTCTTTCTAATTTCCTTTCCTTAGTGTCTATTAATAATAAAGAAATTACAATACTACCAAAAGATATTCTTCTATATTCTAGCAATTGAATTTAAAAGATATATATAATACAAATGTTTGTATTCTCATTTGCATTCCAAGGAGAAACTTCGGCCTCCTACTGAATTAAGGGATATAATACATGCCTGCGCCCCAACAATATAAACATATTGCATTGCATCCTATTCTTCTTACCAATAAACATTTTTTTATCACCATTTAACTTTTGTACACTAAGCAGTAATCATTTTGTAAAGCCAAAACCTCAGAAAAAGTAAATATTTACCAAATGATTGCAACAATAAATAAAATAAAATAAACATAACTCGTATCCTTAAACAAATATTGTCTTGTAATAAATTAGATGAAACTTAACAACACGCTAATACACAACCACATTATATGTTTTTGAGCTTCAAATGTTCCAGGTTACATCAAGTAACCCACCATGATAGTTACCTTAAAATTAAAGGCGAAACACTTAGGCTACAATTGATGCTAAGAATACATTAAAGATGACGATGACAAGATAATTAGGGAGTCCCTCCCGTATTGCAACAATGGAGTATTAAACAATGAGAGAGAGAGAGAGAGTTCCATGCACATTGATATTTCATTAATTCATTCATCCAATGATGTTAAGAATCAGGCCAAGGAAGCAAAAGAAGATATGAATCTATCTGTTGTATCCGTAGGACCCGAATTTTTTAGAGAACAATGAATTAAAGTGAGAAAGCAACCAATAGACAGGACACAAATTACTATTCGACTCATCTGACAAAGGGCAGATACAGGTAGGAACTGTTACAGCATGCAGAATTGACCAAACAAGTTGGCCAGTGAACCAAAATAATGACATATGCATGAAATGTCACACGACATTAGATATTAATCACATTTTTGTAAATTTTCAATATATTGCGTGTCAAGAATATTTGAAAACAAAATTTATAAAAAAGATACATAGTGCCGAATTCATCTCATGATATCAGATCGCTCAGCCAGGACCATTTGAGATGGAGGACTGAGCCTGGACCAAACTTGTCCTCATCCTGATAAGAGGGGTCCAGGAAAAGCATATAATCTTGTTCTGTTGAAGGAGTCATCAGGAAAGGAATTAGCAATTACATAAGGGTGTGTTTGTGCGACTGTCATGTTGGGTGGGGGAGGAGAAAAAGAAAGAAAAGAAGACTCAATAGACATAAGCAAATCAGTTATTAAGGTCTTAAAAGCATACCTTAATATACATGATTAGATGTTTTCCTTTATGCGAACATTTATGTTAGACGATTCCCCTTTCTCTCTCCAAATTGCTTGAACTTCATCAGTTCTGAAGCGCTGGGTGAATGTCGATTCCTCCAGTGGAGTTGATACACCGTGAGCAAACTCAAGCAAACCAGTATATGCAATCATTGCCCCATTGTCAATACAATACCTATCATCAGTTGCAAACAATCTTCCACCCCTCTCAGAGCACATTACTCTCATCATCGCTTGCAAGCGTTCATTGCAGCCCACACCGCCAACAATAAGAACATCTTTCTTGTCACAGTGTGCCATTGCCCGTTCAGTGATCTCTACAAGCATTGCAAATACAGTTTCCTACAACAAATTTATAAATTATGTAAATTTTGTTTCAAACACTAGAACATGTAGATAGCCCATATCTTCAATTTACTAAAACAAGCCACACAACACTGCAGAAAATTTGAACCCCATAACTTATTTTAAGAAGTGGAAACAATCCCAAATGAATGTTTACCTGCAGAGAGTAGCACAAATCGGCGGGGGTACACTCATTATTTTTTAGCTTCTCCACAGCAGTGGCTTCAATATAGCTCAATAGTCCACTAAAGGAGACATCCATTCCTTTCACAGCATACGGAAGGTCCAGAAACTGTTCTCCTTTCTTTGCAAGCTGATAAAGAGAAAAAATAAATTGGCCGGTCAAAAGGAAAGCATTTCCCATCAAATGATCCAGTATTTTTATTTGTTACAAGCACGGCATAGAACATAGCCAGTGGCAATATGAAAAGATCTCAAGAGTACTCAGCCAAAAAGGGAAATTAGAAACTAAAATGTCAACTATCTCACTTCCAGTTTCAGAGAACAGTGCCTTTAGAATGAGAGATGAAGCAACAGGTCAATCTCACAGCTGCAATCTAAAACTATAAGGTCCTCCATGTGACACAGAAGGTTCTTATGATGGGAAATATAATCCCATGTCAATTGCTGGACAAATTGGATTACAACTCCAGCAATCAGCCATCTTAAACAAACCACTCAGTGTGTTGGGTGCGGGACGTATCCAGCGTCGGACGTGTCAAATCCAAAACAAAAAGGACACAGGGGTACTACTAAATATTTAAATTATTTAATATTTTTATTAAACTTTCTAGACTAAAATAATGTCTTTATACAACATACCGTCCAATATAGGCGTTTCAGTCATTTTAAAGCAATAATATAATGGAATTGAATTATATGATATACTTTTAGGTGCATGTCCAACCAAAAGGGTCAAACACATATCCCATACCCATTTTTGTTTAAGTGTGCCCGACACAAGTTCTTAACCTACTTTTGAAGCGTCCATGTAACATAGGTTGGGGGTTCGTTGAAAAATCTCAGACAAGGGGGAAAAAGCAAGTGAAGTATAAATTGGGATCTTTAATCCTTCCGACTGCCAAGTGAGCAATCAGGCTGATCGGCAAAGTGATCATTCCTCATTTAGATAAATAACTTGCCAGAAAGAATCACATAAAAAATATAGGAAAAATAAAATTTGTTTGCTGGATACTACCCTTTACGATTTACATTAATAATCAAGCGCTTTCAGTATAAAGTAGTAAACCATGGTTAAAACTCTTCCAATTTAGTATCGCCAAGGGTGAAAATAAATAAATAAAAATTCTTCTACAACATTACTTGTAGCCGTAATGCAAAGGATACAGAGTAGGAAGCACAGAAAATTCTTACATAGTAGAGGATAACATGCCATTTGAATTAACCTCAAAACACAGAAGTAAATTTTATGAATATCACAATTTTATTTTTTAGAATATCAATTTTCTATTTTTTCAAGGAAACTAGTTGAACCAATAACAGCCGAAAGTCAAAAATTTAAAAACATAAATGAGGAATATTTGTGTGCAAGGTACATGCATGAGTTACAAAACCAGGCAATATATATAAGCCAACTTTTTCAGGTAAATAATATATAAGCCAAATTGTTAAACAGTACCTGCTCAATGTTGTACCCAGGACTTGGATCATTTGACAGTGTTAAAACCCTGGCAAACCGATCCAAGCAATTGCCGACAGCAATATCAATAGTCTCCCCAAAAATTCTGTAGCGTCCCTCACTATACGCAATCACCTGTGTGTTCCCGCCACTTACATACAACACAACTGGATCATCAGCCCCAGTCACAATCCTACCCATTTCAATATGAGCAACACAATGATTTACCGCAACAATTGGCTTATTCCACAGCTGCGAAAGGACCCGGACAACAACAGCAGAAACCTGTAAAGGTGCACCCATACCAGGGCCTTTGGTATAACAAAGACAGTCTATATCGCTCGGGGTTACTTCAGCAGTTTTGAGGGCATCTTTGATGAGTGGAAGGATGTGCTGGAGATGGTGTTGGGCAGTTTCTCGAGGGAGGAATCCATGGCCCGGAGGGGTAATATAGGTGTGTCTCGGGTTTGATAAGATTGTGCCATCTAATGTAACAACCCCAACAGCAATCTTGTTGGCTGACCCCTCAAACCCTAAAGCTATCATCTTTTTCATCTCAAGAACAATATACTGTGATTTAAATCCAACGGTCAATTCAAATTAGAATTTGGTGGCTGCATTGGAAATTGAGTATTTCTATTATCCCTGGACAAATGGATACATGAGTTTCAGAGTCTATAGCATGAATAACAATTAAAAAAGAAAGTATAAATCAATATCAAATACACACGCACATTTTATATATATATGAGTGAATTACTATTTGCAGTAATATGTGAAAATTTTGCATATAGTGTATGTTTGAATTGAAGATTAATTGGGAATATTAGCTTAAGTTATGGCATCAAGCTGTATGTGTGTGTGTGATTATGATAATTTCAACCAAAAGTATAAGCGAAGGATTGATGACCACAAATGAAGAGATAATTCATGTTATCTTCTAAAAAATGCATAGATAACAGCATGAAGCACGTTTGTGAGTGTGTGTGAGGTGTGTAATAATGATCTATAGCATAATTTTCATATCAAGCTCAAACAACTGAAAGAAGAAGACAGATAGAAAGGTTTTTGCTTTTAGAGAGAGAGAGGAGCTTAGTTTAGCCGGTGGTAGAAGAGGGAGGAGTTTACAGATGAGAGATCGCGTTGATAATAGCACTATGGTTGAAGCTCAGGATGGTATGTTGAACCTTACCCAAATCCGGATCTGCAGTTTTCTTTTCGGGTCCATCAGACCCGATGTGCGCAAAAGCGGGTTAAGTCAAAGTTTCACAGGTCGTGACTCATGAGAGAACAAAAGTGAAATAGAAAACTGGTCAAATTTTGTTTATTTGATTATTTTATAAAAGTTTTTATCTGAAAAGAAAGAGTGATAAAAAATTATTATTGTAAAACCATTTTAGATTATATAAGGAAAACTGGTCAAATTTTGTATTTGAATATTTTATAAAAGTTTTAATCTGAAAAGAAACAGTTAAAAAATTTTATTATTGTAAAACCATTTTAGATTATAAGGTTATCTGCCAAAAACATACTAATAAAAAGGGATAAAGTACAACAAAGTTACAATATATTTCCCTCACAGACGAGCAATATATTCATTCCGCTTTGCTGCTAACGACTAGGGATGGCAATTGAGCCCGTTTAATTTTCCCCACCCCATCCCCACCCAAAACCGTTTAGACAATCCCCCACACCCCACCCCCATCCCCATCCCTTGTCTGCCCAATTTAAACTCCCACTAAACTTTTTCCACTAATTATTATTTTTTTCAAAGCAAATAAATCAAGCTTCAGTACACTGCAACATTAGACATGAAATATAATCTTAGAATTCTTATTGCTTCTGCATCAAATTTGAAAATAAATGGGTACATATATGGTGACACAATTTACATTGAGAATCCAGCATCAAGATTTATGTGGAGAAAATCCAAATGAATTCAACCACGAAAAAATCAACACACGTTATAAACATAATCACTGTATAAGGAATATGATCAAAATTAGAAGTCAGAAATCATCAATTTTTATTTTTTGAAAAGCAAGTCTCAAAACATCAATCAGTAAGGAGGGGGTGGGAATAGAGAAATAAAATCAAGATGATTCAGTCTCTCAGTAATCAAACAACTCCACTCATTTGGTCATAACGCAATTAATTGGCACATTGAGTGAATTTTTCATTTCATTTTGGAAAATAGCAACAGATTACATGAAGCTCAAAATCCGTCGTTTCTTTATTTACATCCACTTCTAGGGAACCAAACAAAGGATACAACAAAATAACAGGAAATCAAATGACATTTCTTACAAAGAGTTTTCCAATTTTGGATATTAAATCATATGTCAAGATAGACAGTAACAACTAACAAGAACAAATACACTCAACAAAACCTCCACATAGAGTTCATGAAGCAGGGGAGGAGGAGGAGGAAGAAGAGAGAACTGACCAGAGCGCGCAGTGGTCTGTAAGGCTGACGGAACGACAGTGGTCGGCGACGGGGAGGACTGAACGATGATGCAGAGAGAGAGAGAGTGTGTGTTGACGGCAGAATGGGTGATAAATGTTCGAGTCCAAGAGATTAGGGGTTTTAGTTGTTCCATATATCTAGAAAGGGTATATTAGTAAATTAATAAACAAGATGTGATTTTAACGGGAGCTAGCTGTGTACAATTTTTTGAAAATAGGATTTTATCTACCCAAAAACATAAACATAGGAGGTGAAGTGCAACAAATTGATCATACAGATTATGTTCAATTAACCCTTTTTTTTTCCTTTTTTTATTATCTATCATTGAAACAATTGTTTGCTTAATAATATTTATTTATTCGCTATTCTCGAATCAATTGCTTGCTAATAACAAATTAAACAGGATTTTTTTTGTTAACGATATTTACACTAACTGCTCTAATCTATTTATTTAATGTGAATAAACCCAAAAATAAATTCCATTCACTAAATGGATACAAACTCTTAAGCCTAAAACATAGGTTAGTTTGTTTGTTGATTCTCAAATAGGTTAGATAGTTTCGTATAACTGTAAGAATCATTTAGTCAACATATCCCAATTGTGAATTAAAAATAATAATAAAAAATCAGTGTTAAATATTGTTACTATTAAAAAATATATTAATAATTTTAAAATAAATCTTTTTTTTTTTTACACCATGGTTGAATATTACCGTTCAAAAATATATTAATAATTTTAAAATAATTCTTTTTTTTTCCTCACTGGTACTACTTAAGTCATACAATTATTTTCATCAGGTGCAAAGCTGGCCTTGAGATTGAAAAAATTTCAAGAGGCCCTAGGCGAACTATAATGTGAGGCTCTTTATATTACCGTTCAAAAATATATTAATAATTTTAAAATAATTCTTTTTTTTTCCTCACTGGTACTACTTAAGTCATACAATTATTTTCATCAGGTGCAAAGCTGGCCTTGAGATTGAAAAATTTTCAAGAGGCCCTAGGCGAACTATAATGTGAGGCTCTTTATACATAAAATTTAACATGCACAAAAATAAATGTCTATTTTTTTAATCCTAAGGAAAATTTTCAAGTTTAACAACTCTCGGAGAACCTCTTTCAACTAATAAATCTCTCATTTTTTTGTCAATATTTTTTCAATTTTCTAAATCATTTATGTTCAAAGGAAGATTATCATTCTCATTCATATATTCTTCATTTACCAAATCTTTAAGTCGATTTACATTTTCTTCGTTTTGATTCTTATTCCTATTTCTTTTATTAAATTTCCATGTTCATTAAGATTTTTTTCATTCGTATGTTCTTCAATGAAAATGAAAATGAACTAATAGCCCGAAAGAGACAGAGGACTAAAACTAAAAATCTTAATATAGAACTAAAACTAAAAATTATTTTACAATGAAAATGAAAATGAAAGAAGAAATAAAAAAGTAATAAGTATCCTATTCCCCTTTAATGAGACTGAGGACTTCAGGTTCGATAGGGAGAGCAGGGATTTGCTCCTTTTTTTGTTGGTGTTGAGGGTCCACAAGCATTCGCAAATTTCAGGACTTCCCTCAACCCCTTTTCATCCTGCATTTAAATGCATAACAATTTCAAATAATATAGAACTTAGGTTAGAACCCTGATTTCTCCACCAAAAAAGAAAAGACAAAACAGATATCAACAAATAACACTTAATTACCTCGAGGACAGATTGATCGTCAACAATCTTGCAGAGGAATGCAACGACGAATGAGTCACCAACACCAGTCGTATCCACATATTTGACATGAAATGCATCCATGAAAATTCTAATGGGTTGTTCATTGTTTAAACATTTCGAAATGGGTGGTCCTTTTTAAAGTAGAAATTATCAAGAGGGCAACTATATTTTCATATTTATAAATATATATTGTGCTAATCAAGGACACAATCAACAAAATTTAATAGTAATATGCTTGGACCTTAAGAACACGACGATCACCTTTACTTCACATTCAAGGCTTGACTCCAAAAAGAATTTCACAAGGAAGGGGGACTACTAGATCTACTGAAATACTTGAAATTATTTATTTTGCGTTACAAATTTGAGAGAATTTTGCAAATTTTCATGTGCAAACAATAAAGAAATATTTTAGTATTAGCAATTGTTTTGGATTACTATATTATAACAGCAATACCTAAACATATACTACAAGTAAATGTCTAAACACTCAAAGCCAAAATAACTGGGACCTAAGAAATAAAGAACTGCAAGAACCATACATTTTGAAAAATAAGTCGAGAAAATAACTCAGGAGAGGCAGCCAGTTTAATATTTGAATACTACCAAGTGTAACTTCTAAAAATACGGGAATAAAAACACCAAAATTAACTAAAAACTGTACAAAATTAATTTGCAAAAAGAACTGAAACGTTTCAAAAAGGCTTCTACTATCTATAGTATCTGGTAAATTTTGAATAAGTTAGCTGCTGAAGTCATAGAATAGCAAGTTGGTAATGCAGACTTAATACATAGGTAAAAATGGAATTGTGCGTCTCAAATCATGCAACCTAAAAGCGCTTTGGCTTCCACCTTACATGAACCTTCACTTACCATCAAAGCTAAATATAAAAATTGAATGAGAGATATTCTTGGCATACCTTAGTGTAATACCTGCAACCGGAGGAGCTTCACCTCTGACTTGTCCCAGATGCTCATCGTCTGTTCACGCGCCTCCTCTGCTGAGGGCCACAATGGTCGCTGAAGGTTGGGATCATTTGAGAGCTAGCAGGGCACCAAAGCATCCTTTGCCACTTCCATCGCCTTTAGATGTGCAGATCTACATGGCTCCACAATCAAGCTTATTGATCCATAATGGAAAACTTTAGCCTGTCATCAAATATTAAACTTCAGCATTTATACTTTATACTTTGGCTGGCTGCTCGAGGAAGATTGCAAACTCTCTCTGCTTAAAGAGAAAGGGATCATCCAGAAAGATGCATGTGTGCTATGCAGGAATGCATCAGAAACACTTCATCGCCTCTTCTTCAATTGCAAGTTCTCTAATTGCATCTGGAAAGTCATTCAAAACAAAGGTAAACTGTCAAGGTTCCCTCTTGTTGTTGACTATTGTGTTGGCTATAGGGTATAGAATTATACATGAATCAGGTTCCGACAAAAAAGCAAAAGTGGCTGACATTCTGAAAAATAGGAAATAGGATTGGTCAGAAGTTGAATCGGTGAATATGAAAAGCATTATAGAAATTCTTTCCAAGGTCCCAGTCGCTAACAGAAATGTGCCAGATAAAATTGTTTCACAGAAACACTTCAGCGCCTCTTTTTTTAATTGCAAGTTCTCTAATTGCATCTGGAAGATTATTCAAAACAAAGGTAAACTGTCAAAATTCCCTCTTGTTCTCTGTCAGACATTTTGGAGTGGAGTGGTTCCAACATGAGAGGGAAATTGTGGGCTAATGTCATTCGCAAAGTTGCCTTAGCTGCTATGGTCCATCACACTTGAAGGAAAGAAACAAAAGGATTCAGGATGACGGTTACAAGGATGAAACAATAGTCATCAAACTGAGGATGTCAAGTTTAAGATATCTTATTCACATGGAGTGGAGGGATCCACTAAGAACAAATACTTGCAACGATCATGGAATATCCATGAAGAAATTTTTTCTTTTTTTTGTGAATTCTGGTTTCCTTTCTTTTGGTTCTCTTTTGTACATAGGGAAGTATGCCCCCTTTTCACTTAAATATCTTTTAAAAAAAGTTGCTTATCTCCCCCAAAAAATATATAAATATGTATGTATGTGTATATATATAATAAATAAATAATAAAATACTTAATTGATATTGCCATAATGTCTCTTTGTTGCTTTCTTCCCACTTTTAGCCTACTGTTTTTGCTTACGGTCATAAAGCATGTTTCATTGTGAGTTGTGAAGAAGATGACAATGGGGAAACCATTTCGAGCCGTTCTAGCAAATTATCTGGCTTTGATTTGGGGCACAATATCCAAGCATTCAGTAATTTTAAACTTTTCCAACTCACAACATTCCCTTCATCCAATACCTTTTGTTATGGTTACTTCTCCAAACCCAATTGAAGAAAAATGACGCATTTTCTAAAAAACACTCAACTAAAACTCAAACATTTAGCTACAAGTCACTAAGGTTTCATTAACAAATATTATATTATATAAACAAAACAATCAAACACCAAAAACCCTAAATATACATAATGTCTTCCCACACGCTTGCTTCACTGAATTGAAAATAACAGTGGAAAAATACATAATATAGTTATTTGGCATACCTATCCAGTCATCCAGAAATAAATTTGTACTTGATATTGCCTCTAACTCAAATTTCCATGACAGGGTGATACGAGGCTCTCCACATAAGCTCCTGTATTGCGAATCCTAGCCACATCTGGGAAATCCCGAAGTACCAGATCCCTGTATGTTCTCTCTCTTGTGTTGTATAGAACTAACTTCTCGAAGCCTATTCTTAATATGGCTTCATGATTCTCCAACAAAGCCAATGTCTTGATGGTTTTGGAAAATGGGACTTCAATCACAACTTTAGTCCAAGACTGTGCCACGCCATATTCCTTCATCACCCAAAATTCACGACCAAACATTGGTACCATACAAAGACATCCTCCAAGTAACCGCAAGGTCTGGGGGATATCGTTATTAGAGAGAGTAGGCGCCGGAAACTCCCAGAATTTCTCGTCCGCCAAAGAGAAAGCAATAATCTGGCCAAGACAGAGCCAGTGGATAGCTCCATTCAGCAGTGTACCATTCAGCAGTGTCCCATTCAGCAGTGTCTCATCCGAAGAAGATATATTCGAATGATTATTAGGAAGGCCTTGAACCTTTTTCCAGGAATCAGTTCTTAGTGAATATACATAGAAGCCTTTTTTATCAGCTGCCACCAGTTTGTAATCATCAGCGGAGTGATCATAGCCAAATCCGAATATATATAAATTTTGCGAATTTAAGTAGTCAGGTACAGGTATTGTCTTGGACTCTCTGGTGGAGAGATTGAATATATAGAGAGCCGTTGGCCCCAACCCCAAGCACAACAACCCATTGCAAGAACCCAATATATAGCAGTAATCAAAAGAATGCTCTTTGAACTCTACCAAATAATCCATCTTTACTCCAGAAGCCACAATGTCGCCATCAACCTTATCAGCGGCTGCTTCGAGGCTGATGGCGTAGGGAATGTCTGGCTTTCGGCTAGACCTTATGAAAATATGTTGTCTTTGTCTTAGGAGATTAGGGCTTGTGATTGGTCGGTTGAGATGGGTTTTAACAAAGTAAGTGTCGGAGATTATATGGTACAAGGATTTGCATACGAACCTCAATTGCAAGAGAGATTTGACTGGCAGTGTAGAAAGTATGCCGATGAGTAGTACCTCTGGAGGAAGACGATCTATGAGCCATGACGACTGATTTCTTTTCTCCACCGCCGCAGCCTTCGTCGCCGCCGCCGTTGTCTTGATCACTCCTCTACTTCCTCTGATCCGCAAGCGATTTCTCCTCTTTGCACGGGTTATTATCGTGTCTGCCATAGATTTGCCCCAAATCCTTCCTCTTCGTTTTGACATGATACTATGATTGGTTTTTCTGCCTCTATTTCTCTCTTCCATGGATTTATAAACGGGTTTCAAACCAAATCCTTCTCGGGGTGGGATTTACGAAAAGAAAAAACGTGGAAAAACCAAATCCTTGCTGGAGTGGGAAACAAAATAAAATTTAGAATAAAGTGAAAAACAATCTCTAAATTATTATCTTTTTACAAATAATTTAATGAATTATTAAATTTTTTATTTGTTACTAAGGACAAATTCATCACAAGAGAGTATTTTATTCTTTCTAATTAAAAATTTCATTTCTAATTAAATTATTTTTTATTATATTTTCTATTATTCAAAAAATTAATTATATCATTTACCTTAATTTTATAATTAGTATCAATTTATCATAAAAATAAAAAATAATAAATAGATTAATAGCTATCATTTTCTAAAATTATTAACTTATTAAAATAAAACTTATTGTACTCACTTTTAAAAATACATATAGTACAAAAATACCTTCTTTTTCATACCATATTCATGAAAAATTAATAAATTACTAAATAAAAAATATTTTATTTTTTATGCAATATATTCATAAAAAATTAAGAAATTAATTAAATTATTTCAAAAAAAATTTACTTAGGATTTTTATTTAATTACAAAATTAAAGGCAAATTATGCAAATTTAATGGAGAATACTTCATCAAATTAGTATGATTTTTTTTCATAATTTATTTTAATAAGAAAAATAAAAAGTGTAATTCAATAAGAAATGATACTAGCATATGCCTCCATAGCCAAGTAATTTAGTACCTTCAGTGAATTTTTGAGTGTTACGCTTTAACTTTCTGCATTTACTGATCTAACTTATAACTTTTCTTGCCTTGTAAAAATAATAATAATAATAAAAATAAAAATGATACTAAAGTCATTTAATGAAAAATAGTCAAGGCAATGGCGGGCATTTTGCTACTAAAAGTGACATGGAGTTTTTTGCACAAAAAATATTTTAGAAGGATTATTTGCGAATTTGAATATAGTTCATGGGAATTTTTTGCACTTTATTCTAAAATTTAATTACAAACAGGTACTCTTAGTAATTTGATTATTTTACTCATATTGATTAAGTTAAGCCCAATAAGAAAGAACATAGATCTAATCGGATTAGGATCAAATGTAATCTACTGAATGTCCTGTCCCTATGTGCCAAGCCAGTGGCATATTACTCTATCTATTCCATTTTTCAATTCTGAAGGCACGAGTTCCACCCAGCGTAACAAAACAAGCAAAGCTGGGAATCTCGCTCCGCTCTTGACGAGAAAGTACAGAAGTGAATCAGCACTGCTTTGGATCAAGCTTCCTGGGCGTAAGTTTAGAAATGAGAGCTTGGAATGTGAAAAGAGGGACTCATAAGCTTGTAAATTCTTGGTGTAATACTCACTCGTAAATTCTTGGTGTAATAATTTTTCACTGATCAGGTGTGATCCGTCTCATCGGTGTAAGAATTAGGAATTCCTCTTCCAACTCGTCATCTGATTCTATTCGTGGGAATACTTAATCTAATTTGATTCTCTAACCATCAAATTGGATAAATTTAGATTTGTGAATTGGACTTTTTTTATCAAATGATCCAATTTAAAAAGTATGCTATTCATCCGCCATTAATGAGATAGTGGATATGAGGTTCAGTAGGGAGAGCAGGGGTTGCTCCTTTTTTGGTGGTGGTGATGGCTCGACAAGCGTCAATATTTTTTCAATTTCCAAAATCATTTATATTCAAAGGAAGATTATCATTCTCATTCATATATTCTTCATTTATTAAATCTTTAAGTTGATTCGCATTTTCTTCATTTTGATTCTCATTCCTATTTCATTCATTAAATCTCCATGTTCATTAAGATTTTCTTCGTTCCTATGTTCTTCAAAAAATGAAAATGAAAATGAACTAATAGCCCGATTGAGACTGAGGACTAAAACTAAAAATCTTAATATAGAACTAAAGCTAAAAATTATTTTGCAAAGAAAATGAAAATGAAAATGAAAGAAGAAATAAAAAAGTAATAATTATCCTATTCCCCGACTTCAGGTTCAAAAGGAAAAGCAGGGATTTGCTCCTTTTTTTGTTGGTGGTGATGGTCCACAAGCATTCCCAAATTTCAGGACTTCCCTCAACCACTTTTCATCCTGCAATTAAATGCATAACAATTTCAAATAATATAGAACTTAGGTTAGAACCCTGATTTCTCCACCAAAAAAGAAAGGACAAAACAGATATCAACAAATAACACTTAATTACCCCGAGGACAGATTGATCGTCAACAATCTTGCAGAGGAATGCAACGACGAATGAGTCACCAGCACCAGTCGTATCCACATATTTGGCATGAAATGCATCCATGAAAATTCTAATGGGTTGTTCATGTTTAAACATTTCGAAATGGGTGGTCCTTTTTAAAGTAGAAATTATCAAGAGGGCACCTATATTTTCATATTTATAAATATATATAGTGCTAATCAACCAAATTTAATACTAATATGCTAGGACCTTAAGAACACGTCGATCACCTTTACTTCACATTCAAGGATTGACTCCAAAAAGAATTTCACAAGGAAGGGGGACTACTAGATCTACTGAAATACTTGAAATTATTTATTTTGCGTTACAAATTTGAGAGAATTTTGCAAATTTTCATGTGCAAACAATAAAGAAATATTTTAGTATTAGCCATTGTTTTGGATTACTATATTATAACAGCAATACCTAAACATATACTACAAGTAAATGTCTAAACACTCAAAGCCAAAATAACTGGGACCTAAGAAATAAAGAACTGCAAGAACCATACATTTTGAAAAATAAGTCGAGAAAATAACTCAGGAGAGGCAGCCAGTTTAATATTTGAATACTACCAAGTGTAACTTCTAAAAATATGGGAATAAAAACACCAAAATTAACTAAAAACTGTACAAAATTAATTTGCAAAAAGAACTGAAACGTTTCAAAAAGGCTTCTACTATCTATAGTATCTGGTAAATTTTGTAAAAGTTAGCTGCTGAAGTCATAGAATAGCAAGTTGGTAATGCAGACTTAATACATAGGTAAAAATGGAATTGTGCGTCTCAAATCATGCAACCTAAAAGCGCTTTGGCTTCCACCTTACATGAACCTTCACTTACCATCAAAGCTAAATTTAAAAATTGAATGAGAGAAATTCTTGGCATACCTTAGTGTAATACCTGCAACCGGAGGAGCTTCACCTCTGACTTGTCCCAGATGCTCATCGTCTGTTCACGCGCCTCCTCTGCTGAGGGCCACAATGGTCGCTGAAGGTTGGGATCATTTGAGAGCTAGCAGGGCACCAAAGCATCCTTTGCCACTTCCATCGCCTTTAGATGTGCAGATCTACATGGCTCCACAATCAAGCTTATTGATCCATAATGGAAAACTTTAGCCTGTCATCAAATATTAAACTTCAGCATTTATACTTTATACTTTGGCTGGCTGCTCGAGGAAGATTGCAAACTCTCTCTGCTTAAAGAGAAAGGGATCATCCAGAAAGATGCATGTGTGCTATGCAGGAATGCATCAGAAACACTTCATCGCCTCTTCTTCAATTGCAAGTTCTCTAATTGCATCTGGAAAGTCATTCAAAACAAAGGTAAACTGTCAAGGTTCCCTCTTGTTGTTGACTATTGTGTTGGCTATAGGGTATAGAATTATACATGAATCAGGTTCCGACAAAAAAGCAAAAGTGGCTGACATTCTGAAAAATAGGAAATAGGATTGGTCAGAAGTTGAATCGGTGAATATGAAAAGCATTATAGAAATTCTTTCCAAGGTCCCAGTCGCTAACAGAAATGTGCCAGATAAAATTGTTTCACAGAAACACTTCAGCGCCTCTTTTTTTAATTGCAAGTTCTCTAATTGCATCTGGAAGATTATTCAAAACAAAGGTAAACTGTCAAAATTCCCTCTTGTTCTCTGTCAGACATTTTGGAGTGGAGTGGTTCCAACATGAGAGGGAAATTGTGGGCTAATGTCATTCGCAAAGTTGCCTTAGCTGCTATGGTCCATCACACTTGAAGGAAAGAAACAAAAGGATTCAGGATGACGGTTACAAGGATGAAACAATAGTCATCAAACTGAGGATGTCAAGTTTAAGATATCTTATTCACATGGAGTGGAGGGATCCACTAAGAACAAATACTTGCAACGATCATGGAATATCCATGAAGAAATTTTTTCTTTTTTTTGTGAATTCTGGTTTCCTTTCTTTTGGTTCTCTTTTGTACATAGGGAAGTATGCCCCCTTTTCACTTAAATATCTTTTAAAAAAAGTTGCTTATCTCCCCCAAAAAATATATAAATATGTATGTATGTGTATATATATAATAAATAAATAATAAAATACTTAATTGATATTGCCATAATGTCTCTTTGTTGCTTTCTTCCCACTTTTAGCCTACTGTTTTTGCTTACGGTCATAAAGCATGTTTCATTGTGAGTTGTGAAGAAGATGACAATGGGGAAACCATTTCGAGCCGTTCTAGCAAATTATCTGGCTTTGATTTGGGGCACAATATCCAAGCATTCAGTAATTTTAAACTTTTCCAACTCACAACATTCCCTTCATCCAATACCTTTTGTTATGGTTACTTCTCCAAACCCAATTGAAGAAAAATGACGCATTTTCTAAAAAACACTCAACTAAAACTCAAACATTTAGCTACAAGTCACTAAGGTTTCATTAACAAATATTATATTATATAAACAAAACAATCAAACACCAAAAACCCTAAATATACATAATGTCTTCCCACACGCTTGCTTCACTGAATTGAAAATAACAGTGGAAAAATACATAATATAGTTATTTGGCATACCTATCCAGTCATCCAGAAATAAATTTGTACTTGATATTGCCTCTAACTCAAATTTCCATGACAGGGTGATACGAGGCTCTCCACATAAGCTCCTGTATTGCGAATCCTAGCCACATCTGGGAAATCCCGAAGTACCAGATCCCTGTATGTTCTCTCTCTTGTGTTGTATAGAACTAACTTCTCGAAGCCTATTCTTAATATGGCTTCATGATTCTCCAACAAAGCCAATGTCTTGATGGTTTTGGAAAATG